GCCGTCGATATGCAAATACTTTCTGCAGCTTGCCTGGGTTTTGCACTAACATTCCTCTCAATTTTCCACACCTACGTGGATCATCAATTCCAGGGGGAACAACTGCCGTCTAATAGTAGTAAATCCTGCTTTACTAATGATGATGATTGGAAATATGAATATCTACTGCAGGCATACATGGCTCTTGGAACGGCTGGCTTCATGTGGCTTTTTGGCATAGCGCTGATAAGCTACGAGTTCTCTCTTCTTTTTACCGTAAATGACAGACCTACAGAACCCCTACGAATTCGCCGAAGTTCCATTTTGCACTGGTTGTACTTTCTGGCCTTCTTAGGAGTCGCTTGCAGTTTTATTTCACACGCCGTTGGGATCTACATGATTCATTGTAACTATGATCGTATCTTCAATTTCTACTTATTTCCAGCTGCGGGGATTTTTGGCCTAATGATCATAGTACTACTTGTAGTATTACTATTCTATAAAGAATTGGACTAACGTACACGGTCTAGTTGGAGAGGCGTGTTACTCGGTCTCAGATCTCCGACGACCGACTGTGTTTTCTGAAACACTTGTATATCAGACGGAGATAAGTTTGGGTATCTCGATTAGTCTTAATTATTATCATTCCATGTAGACCCTTTTCCTGTGAACTATATCATTAATTGATTCAGTTGTAATAAATTAACAACAACAATAACAACAAGTATCTTTATTACCAATTTTTACATATATACATGTATATCAAATTAAGCTTTACAATAGTATAACAGTTGATAGATAGATAATTTACAATAGTATAATTAACCAAGATTCAGGTATTAGCTGCTCAGTATAGCAAGCTAATCGAGCTGAGCAGCCGTTAACTGTTTTTAACACATTGATAAGGTCGCCTTAACTATGACCAAACTCAGTTTCTGAGTTGGACTATAGATAAGTTTAAGGATTTTGTTATTGCAATTAGTTAACATGGCAATTGCAATGGAAATAGAAAAGTAGGAAAAAATATATATATGAATAAAGTTATGACTATACTGGATGATTAGAGTGACTGTAATATAGGATACTCTTAATAGSCAGCAATAATAGATCATTGTTGATAGCTATATATCGTCAAGTAGTAAAAATATTTTGAAACTATAGAAAGACTGAAGCTTTGAATATATTGCAGAAGGTCCCAGGCGGGACGAATTGACTCCTGTAACGAGACCGCACCAATGCAAGCTGGCACAAACTTATAAATTGCCATTAGTAATTTTTGCTTTTAACCCTAATTCTATAATCTTAAATTTTGYGCATGCAGCTAAGTGTGCAAAACTTGTCCCTGTTTTGTTTTAATACATCATGCTGGCTGACTTGTAATTACAGTTGGGTGTAGTGTAATGAAGTGCTGAGTTTTCTACGAGTATTTCTTCATGTCGATTCTAAATACTAGTATAGAGCATGTTACGTCATAACCACCATCTTGGTTGATGATAACAAGGCATTCCTCATTTATTAGCTTCTCTCGTTAAATCAACCAGTATTATGGTGGCTGTTTCATTGATCTCAAGGGATTCTGAGTCAACTCATGGTCATAACAGAGAGTGCCAATGGGGGTASGCATATCCGATTGTCAATTAACTACTAACCCCATTGTCCCTCATATAGGGTTGAAAACCCCCTTCTGGTTACGTACAAAATCTTGCGAAATCTGATGTCCCTTTATCAATTTCGCACTTTAAATAAATAGAGTATGTAGGAAGAGTCACCGGTCCATCTGCTGCCCATTGCAGGTATATRTAAATTTCAAAGTTTTGAAAAGTCTTAATGATGTCTACATTTGTGAAACCTCCGCCCCATTCGCCGCTATAAGTTTTTCCTTTATTGTAAGCGAATATTTGGCTTTTTTCGGCCGGCCGTGGAAAGCCATTGATGTAAACTTTCATCTTGAATTTTTGTAAGCTCGGTCTGTCCTTCAACAAGGCTTTGCAATCCCCTATCAACGAAAACTTAATGGGTTGTATGATTGGGACTCTAAACTGTGAAGCATTTGCTGGAACACAGTAGAACAGCTTCTTACAGTCGGTAGTCTTTTTCATCACTGGAATGCAGCCTGAAAAATATAGGCAGATCTTAATATACACAGAGGAACCTATTTTACCTGTTAACATTGCAATTCAACAGACAATCATTTGSTAGGTTAAGTCATTTAAACAAGAGATTTAACAACCGATTAAAGTTGTCCCGGGAAAGCGAGTTATCCCTAGCTATCCCTACTTTACAAGGGAAAACTTA